TACATCTCAGGTCACACGCGTTACAAGGACAACTTGTTAATGAGATATGTGGATCAACTACACCTTAATCCTTATGAGCAGATAATGTAAGGGTACTGAGTGCTAAAGTGCTCGGAGGGATAACTGTAGCCAGATGGGAAGAGTGCCAACGCAAGAACATTCCTCGCACAAACTGAGAACAGGTAAAGTAACGGGTAAACTGTAAGGTCACCTGATAATTAACAAGATATAGCGCGGGTATCTATACTAATAATATTAGGTCAGTTCTTCATATTAGGGACTTGTTACCGGAGTTATGGATAGGATATGTTTTCAGTAGTGTATCAGTAAAGCACAGTCTGCAACTGAAATACAAAGAAAATTGGGACACAAATGGGCTGTCGTTACAGCGAAAGCTAATAAAAGAGAAAACCAATTTGCAGAGAATAAGGTGTTGAAAGTGTATTATACGTTGAACCGGTTACATGAGCAGGATAAAAAGTAAATATATCAATAATAAAACTCAGCAGTGCTAATGACGTCACAAATCAGAGAGAAATCTGACGTTAATGACGTCACAAATCAGAGAGAAATCTGACGTTAATGACGTCACAAATCAGAGAGAAATCTGACTGGAGCAGATCTCAAGCTAGTTAATTTCATGACGTAATATCCAGTTCGTTACAGAACAGGCTGAATCTTTTAATGTTGATTAAATAAGAATCCTTTGTATAATCTCTGAAATTTCCTGATTTGAATCGGTTGAGTGGTCCGTCTCGGCATTTAGCAATTGAAACGTTTCTCGTCCTATTAATTAATGTTCCAGGATCAGGTATGGAGAATCTAGAGTTCTTGGAAACATGTTTGTCGACATCATCGTCATTAAGCAAATCTTTACTGGAAAGCTTTGGTAATTTAAATCTCGTTTTTCCGGGTGAGATGTTAAAAACAAAATCATTGGGAACACTCATCCTTGCATAAGTTTTCCGAATTCCTTCTTTTATTTTTGTAATAGAAAACCGGGTGAGGCCCCATCCTTTGCTGAATGTTGTAGCTATTGATGCTTTTCATAAAAAGTTAAAACAAATTCTTCATGTCGTCCATCCTGGGTTTGGACAGGATATGCCCGCTTAAAATATTTCGGATTTCTATCACGTTACATTACATAATTCTGAAACATATATTATATTTACTATATTTACAATAAATTATGCAATGTCACAACATTACAATCAACAAAATAAATTTAATCGCAGAATCTCAAATACAAATAATCGTAAATTAAACTAAAAAAACAAATTAAACAAGCAATAAATTTTTTTTTGAAAACAAATAGAATAATATATATATTATTCTATTTGTTTTTTTTTTAAAGTTATATATAACAATATAATTTACAACAATGTATATCTACCAGATTTGAAACAACAATTAATTGAGTCCATAGGACTCATAATTAGCTAAGCTTTGATACAAAGCATGCGAACTCAAAGTCGTTTTCACAACTTTTGTCAACTGAATTGACAGAAGATCTGGTTCCTCTTATACACAGGAGAACCAGCTTCCTGATAATAAATGATAATTTACATCTTAAAAAATTTACAACATCTGAATAATTTTGTTGCGTCTTATAGGATATTTTCTCACACAATAACCTAAAAAATGTTCTCGCTTCTGGCCCGCTGCCACCCGTGACAGAGTACACCAGTGGACAGAAACTCCCATGTTCGACATTCAATATTCTCTCGTTGTATAACCTCCGCTTCTGAGTCTCAGCTCTCTCGTATATTTTTTCTGTTGATGATGAGAGATAAGACTCAGAATTAGGATTGAGAAACTTTATGTCGAAATAGGAGTTCTGTCCCGGACGATAGAATCCCCTGGCACGGACGTCAGGGTGGACATTGTCTCCTGTGTGGTACTTGTTGAGAAAGTCTCCCCGTCTAAAGTCTGTAGGTGGGGCTAAATGAATATATAAATTCGCATCCACTGACAACTTACTCCTTCATAAATAAACTTACTGTTGACAAATATTTAGATTTGTCTTTAAACGTTTTTTTCTTTAAACGTTTTTAATTCCCTGTAAACGTGGAATCTTGAGTTGTTCTCTTTATTGATCCCACTTTCTTTGTACACTGTGTATGTAGTCTGGAATGGAGAATTTCGCTGACGATTTTAATTCTGTGAAGGACAAAATTGTGGGAATATGATATTTACAACGATTTTTCAAATCGATATCTTCGAATGTTGGCACCGAAAATTTTGGTTGTTTGGCATCTACAGAGCTAGCATTCGGTGTTGCCAACGACATTGACTTTTTGAGGGACGGTATAATTCAGTCCGTCATTCATGCGGAAGTTGGTTGATTTGTTGTTGCAATTAAATTCAGACGTAACGTTGCTTGAAGCCCAGTTTAACTTACATAAAGCTCTAGAAAGGAAGCAAGTGTCAGCATTACTGCTTCTTGACTTTTCCAAGGCATTTGACATAGTAGACAGCGAGATACTGCTACATAAGCTGGAGCACTATGGCGTAAGAGGCCTTATCCTGGTTCGAGTCTTATCTAACTAACCGGAGTCAGTATGTTCACGTCAACGGTTGCAGTTCAGAAGAAATGGGGCTGGAATATGGAGTTCCTCAAGGGTCCATTCTTGATCCTATATTGTTCATTATTTACATAAACGACCTTGCAAATGTAAGCGATATAGCCCATTATATTTTCTTCGCTGATGATGCAAACATTATCGTTTCTGCCGACACGTACACATGCGTGCAAATAGAGTTTTGAATACTGTACAGACATGGGTTAAAAACAACGGCCTCAAACTTAATGTAGGCAAAACTAAATATATAATGATATTTACTAACAGATCACCAGAGGATATAAATATTAGTATAGAAGGACAGCGACTAGTGAAAAGTGAACATGAACGATTTTTAGGTGTCATAATTGACTCAAAACTTAGTTGGAGCCAGCACATTAAACAGTTAAGACTAAAATATCTAGAAATGCTGGCGTAATGATGAAACTTAAAAGTTCCATTCCGAATAAAGCTCAAAAAATGCTATACAATAGCTTAATTCAGTCTCACATGTATTATTGCGCTACTGTTTGGGGTACTAAATCTTTAAATCCCATTCAGTCTTTATTCTCTGCTTAAAAAAAAGCTATTCGCGCTACTGATTCAGAATATCATAACTATTTTTACGACAAAGAAAAACGTAAACTGCCATCTCACACAAAATCCATCTTCAACAAAATAGGAATTTTGGCTCTTCCTAATCCCATTGCTAAAAGCTGTCTCACTTTGATGTACAAGCTTTATATGGGAGTAGCACCATCAAATATCTGTAGTATATTTGAAAAGTCACCGCTTAGACAAACTGAAAGGAGAAATTCACAGTATTTTGAAATTAATTCAACAGATTACGTATCACCGATTATAGCATCTCTAACGTAGGACCACGATTATATAACAACACGATAAACGAAATAAAGAAAATTCTTCCCTTTAACGTACCTAAGTTACAAGATAAGTTCATTATAAATTCATTTAAGGACAACACTGTACGTTACTTAATCGATAAACAATTTAAACTTTGTTAATGTCAGTGGGGAGATAATATAGTTGATTTATATAATATAGATTATTTATTCTCTAGTGTAGATTAACTTTATTTTTATATTTACTTAGTGTGAACGATCAACTATAAGTTATTGATATTGTTGAATTTTTTAATGATAAATTGACATAATAAATGTTTGTAATATCCTATTGAGGCACATGCCACCCAATCGCGGGTTTACTACAAGTTGAACTTCGTAGAACCTTGAAGCAGATTCAGCTCAGATGTCACTTTAAATGAGGACTTTGGGTCAGAAAACTCGTTATCATCGAACACTTGGAACTTTCTTATCCTATTTACAAGAGTCGGATCTTGGGTAAGATCCAAGAATTTAGATTCGTTCTGATCATTGCACTCAAAATCATCACAAAGTCTCATGGTGTTAGTTTTATCAACTATTTTGAAATCAAGCGGAACATGAAAATTCTTAAAACGCGAAAAATCTGTTTCATTTCCTATACCACCAAAGACGGGCGAAACAGCTAAGTCGGCCTTATCTTTTTCGCATGTATTTTCCAATACAGTTGGAACTAAAATGTCGCTTCCATGATAGTCATTGTTATTGAACTTGCTTGAATTTATGTCATTTGAATTAAACTCGTTATTGACTTCGGCACGGCTTTCGTGATCTCGCCCTAAAATATTTTCATCAGCATTTTCTTGATTGATGTGGAAATTTTGCAAATTTTGACCCCCAATAAAATCCTCTGACACCATTTTGTTGTTTTCCTCTTGCAGCTCGAATACCAAAGGCTCCACGTGATGGGGCTTCCTGACGTGATATTGCTTCCCTGACTTCTAGGGGTGATGGTGGTATATGATTTGGTAGGTAGTGAGGCGGTCTTCTGTCATCTGTAAGGTCACTTTCATGGTAGTCTTCTATATTCACCTTGTCATTCAAATTCATTTTATGTGGGCGCTTTGAAATTTAAGCAAGTTGTTTGTAAATAAATATAAAGAGTTAAACGACAAGAATACGACGCATAAGGATTACATTTTTCAAGCACTTTGAGAAGTAGAACGGCAGCAGTCTACTCCTTCATAAACGTTTCATTTCGTAGTAGTTCATTTCGTAGTAGTTCAAAGGGTTATCACATCACACATGAGTCATGATGATTATTTTCTGAACGTGTAGCAAAACATAATGCAAACGTATTATTATTGGTGCTGGCTGTCGTTTAATTATCTTGTTGATAAATTTGATGATAATTGATAGATAAAAATAGTTATTTCTAAGACTGTTTCTCCGTATGCAGGACACAATTGTCAAATTTGTCAATATATGTAAAGATGATAATCAGCTGGGAGAGCGACTGAAGAATCTGCTGCTCTTATCCTAATATCCTTATTCTGTGATGAGTACTAGCGTCTAGCTACACAAATTAAAGACAAAATAACACAAATGTATTGACTGGAAGTAAGTGAAATATCTTACAAGGACACGTGATATCTTCTGCAGAACTTTCTAGCATCCCATGAATTGCTTCAGTTCTGTGTAACCACCGATCAGCTGAGACAGTTTCAGTATTATATTATTTCTAGTTTGATTTCGTCCCAATCTTCATCGCGTCCGAGTATAATGGCGTTTTGCAGACATGCAGCTTTTCAAAAGTCATGCTTTGCCTAATCAAAAAGTTGTGCTTTTCATCAAACATAAGTTATAATTTTAATGACGTCATCGACCATCGTACTACAATGATAATGAGATGACCATTACTCTGACCTTCTTGTTGAGCCAGATCCTAGGAGTGCTAGAAGCTCCGGTCAGTTCTCCAGCGTACTCCTTGATCTGATCGTGAGTGTCCCATTCCTTGATGTCGTGTACTCTCATTCTATTGGCTGGAATAACTGAGGAGTGAGGGAAGAGGGTTAATTTTACTTTCAATTCTACTAAGTGATACTATTTTCAAACGTTGTCATAGTATTCTCGTCACGCTAAAAATTACTTAGTAACTTCATAATAATAAGGTAAATGATATCAGATAAACAATAAATTCCAAAATTGAAGAATCACGTGATAAAGTCGGCGAGACAGATAAGTAGCCCTCAAACTTACGCATTCTTTTAAGACACATCTCAGCCATCACACAGAAAGGACAGCCCTTCTTGGAGATAAGAAGGTAGGTGTTATCTCCGCTCTTCTCCACCGCAGTGTCCACAAATTCCTTGGCAGCTCGTTTCAGTCTGGCCTCGTACGCCAGGGTGATTAACTTTCCAGAGTAGTATCCTTCTTTGGTGTTGTCAGCACCTCCGACTACCTGCAAATAGAGCATGAGATTAGAACTGTATCATAGTATGAAATTAGAACTGTATATCGTTATTCTGTGCGGGATAGCCCAGTGTTCAGTGTTGACCGAAAGAGAGGTCACGTGACAGGTGACACATCATCCCAGTCATATTTAGCAACAGGATTTTAGAGGCCAGGCCCAGGATAAGTACGATGCTTCCTCCCTCCCCTTAGTGCTTTAGCTGCTGCAACCCTTCATACTTCATAGTCCAGTCATGTTTGACAGATAAACTGACAGCGGTAAGTTACCTGTTTGTTTGTAAGCGTGTTCGTTTGTAAGTTACCTGTTTGTTTGCCCAGACGCGAGGGAATGTCCTTCCTCCTGTAACACACCAGTTATAATCCTGAATATCGCTCTTAAAATCTGCATCAAAGTCATCTAGTTCGACTATGTTCAGATCATCTTCGTGGAATCCTGAGAAAATGGACGTTGCAAAATAGGGAGAACGATTGAATGCAAACTATACCCTATATATTATATAACCAATTACTTCCAGTTTTCAGACAATTAAAAATTGCATTCGCCATTTGTTATTAGGCTTTTAAAAAAGAAGAAATATTGAAGAAAAAAAGATATTGACTAAAGAAAAATGAACTATTGGCAAAATAATAACTCACCGATGTCTTTCAGTGTCTGTTTAGCTCTGGTACAGTACGGGCAAGTTGTCTTGCTGATCATGAAAACAAGAGCTGAAGGGATTCCCTCATCGACAAACTTCTTAGCCTCCGGGTTGACATTGTCACAGTCAATATCGTAATCCTTGCCCGCTACAACACTCGATAACAGTAAAACGATGAAGACCTTCATGCTTTGGAAATTTCAGCTGAGTTCAAACTTTGACAATAGTTATGAAAGTGCGGGCGGTCTAGCTGGTTTTAAGTTGGCAACATCTGCTCAATCTGATTTGGAGACAAAGGGGGACAATAGAAAACGCTAGCCACAGAAAATCTTCTCGCAATTTTGTCAGGGCAAACTTATTTATCATGTTTTGCTGCGGAGATTATTGAATGATGCTAGACTTGTCAAAGTAGTTCTCGTTTCGAACAATTGTGAAATTAAGCATTTCGCATTGCACTGCCATGTGAATTGACAAGAGAAATGTGGACTGTTTCTGTTTAGAAAGTAAATCATATAAATAAATTAAGTTATGGAACAAAATATAATACAGTCAAGATCTTACGTTTCTGACAAAGATTGAATACGCGTTAAAAATTGAACCTTACAAGTTTTCTGGCCCAGCCATTGCATCTCAAGCATGTAACAAGGTACATATCAATAAAAATCTTCAAAATTTCCCTAAAGAACGACTATGTTTAAATTCCTAAGTAAGATCCCGAGACTTTAAAAAAAGTTTACATTCTCGAGTAAGATCTGAGAATTTCACATTCATTGCTGTTAACCTGCAGCAAAATATCAGTCCAAAGTTCAATCAAACCAAGGAATCACTTGACATTGTGAATGGCGATCAGAAAGGAAGTCTCCGTATTTGTTTGACTATCAAGTAAGCAGCTCGTTTCCATAGCTTCAGAGAGATTTGAGTCGAGTCACGATGCAAACTCTGACAGTTTGATCAAATCCAGAGCAAACACACAATCCCTCCTGATATAATAAACATTAGAGTAAAAGATGAATTGGCGAGAGCGATCGCTAATTTATTTTTGATATGCCCTTTGAGACATACGGTACTTCAATGTACCAAATTCGCACAAATTCTATAAAATTTAAATAAGATCTAGACGGATATTACCTTATCAGGGCTCCAATCAAATCCAGACAAGGGCTGTGTTCCAAGGATAACATTCTGTATCTGTTCCACAGTACCAGCCACTCCGTATTCTACACCATCACCATCTTGTTTAGTTCTCTCTTTAGGGTAATTGCTGGGAAGAAGGAGTGTTTGATGAAATGTGAGCTTGATTTGGTGTGCCATTCCATTGAAACCGTTTTGCAGGTTGTGGAAATACATTTTTTATCGGATTGCTATTTTAAATTTCATTTCCCTAAATGAACTTACTATTTCCATAGGCACAGAGATCCATTTCCACCGAGGGTCATGTAAACGTCTCTGTTTTGAGGCAAGTGTCTGACTCCCCATATCGTAGATTTGTGTGCCTGCGAAGCAATGATTGATCACAAGGTCAGATTTTAAACAATCTGATCACAAGATTACTCTTCCAGAAAGATCTGACAAAGCCATGCGTTCTTTCTACTCAACGAAAATAATTTTGTGCGCGCGTCTTGCGCAAATTAACTATGAAATAAATCACCGCGGTGGCGCTAAAGTACGTTTCCATAGTAACCATGACGTCACACCACCTACAGTTGGAAGCTAAGGGTTGTTGCCATGCAAGCGGTTCCTCACCAACCAATCCCACCATGCATGCTTGATATTACAACGGACTCACCTTTTCTATTACTGAAGGATAACTGCGTTTCGGATGATCAACCCGCACGTCGAAAGTGTGGAATTTCCCTTCCAAAGTTGTAGCCACAAGTTTATTCATGAGGATATCTTTACGATCGAACTGCAATCCACAAACCTGATATTATAAAAGTTGTCATATAAATATACCTGCTTCATCACACGATGAGAAGAATAAGGTATAAAGAGACATCTGAGACAGTCATTAAACCTTGAAGTGGAAACATTAAAAAATAAGAAAGTAAAAAAAAACAAACCCCGTTTTTTATGTTAGTTTCCCATCTAACAGCCATGTTCCTCAAATCAAACAGTTTGATGTCTCCGTTATCGTATCCAGCAGCCACCACTCTCTCCGCTTCAGTGTACGAGTTACCTAGACAGTTGTTCTAAAAATACTTTAAAACAACATTTTCCTAAAAGTAAACACAAATAGCTGCCGTTCAAACCATATTACTTTGAGTATCAGTTTGGCACTGCGCAAGAAGTAAGAGATAAGACAAATAAAGGCAACTAAAATAGTAAATTACCAAAAGCAACAGCCCAGCAGTCCCTCTTGGCTTCAGACTCTTTAGGTTGCATCATCGCAACAGGGTCGTTATCTTGCCTGACATCCCACACTTTGACTGTCCCTGTAAACAACAAACATTTATCAAATAATAATAACAAACTAGAGGGTAAGATTAAACAACAAACATGAAGCTACCATACCGCAGAGTTTGGAGAAAGCCATTAAAATACAAATTAACATACCATCGCGTGACCCAGTAACAATCTCGGGAGCACCAAGTCCAATACCTAAACCTCCAACACCGTCAATACAGTTGATTATCTCCGAGTGAGCCTTTACTGAGTAAACTGGTAGCTGATGGGGATATTTTAAGTTAAATTTGCAGACCGATTTTTATAGAAATTAGTTATTTAGTTTCCATAGAGTTCTGTCGATAGTGTGATAGCCATAGTTACTATAGTTACCATAATTTGCATTACCTTGTAATACCTATTAAAATTATTTTACACGATTCGATATTTGAGTTACACTTTTAAATTCGCGGCGAAGTTCCGGACTACGATGTATATCCGGCCGGATATCCTGCTTCAATATCCGGTTCCGCCTCCGGCTCCGGTTTCAAAAATTTTGCCGGATTTTTTGCCGGATATTTCATTTTTAAAATGTATTTCTAAAATCTTGAAATGCATATTTTTCGTCACATTTTAACTCTAATCCCTAAAAATCAAAACTTTTTTCACTTTACTTTGAAAAAAAAATTTTCGGCTTATAATGAACAGGGTAGCATGAAACGTGGATAAAAGTAGTTTTCAGAAAAACTTCGAAAACATTTTGACTTACAAAATTTTCGGCCTGAGTGATTTTCGATACGTACCTCCTGTATCGAGAGCTCCCGCTTCCGAGCTTGTGTTGCAAAGGGAAGGCTTACAACAGATTGTCGTGAAGTATATGGACACGTTCATTGAAGTTTGAGGATATTGGTAAATATTAGTGACCCTACTGAATGGCACGATGATGTAAAATGTGTCACACTATGACACTATATAAACCCTTCATGGTTAGGATAATCGTTTCATCCTCTAGATAAACTTTGTCGCATAACGATATCTTTATCAGACGATAAGATATCGCTTAAATGCGGCCGGCAGTGAGTTGTAAACTTTGTCACACTATAAAAACGTGACAGAGTTTATATGGACCCCTTGTTGCCGTGTTTGACCAAATTTTCGAATTTCCAATTTATAGGATAGTTGCATATGACTATTATCTACATATTTAGCGACTTTTTACGTTAAATGGTAGCATCATGTAAACTCCGTCACACATTTAAGAAATTTATATGAGGGATGTTTATGACATCCTGACAAAAAATGCCGAATAATCTAGCATTATTTTGTGAGCTGAATGTGTTTGGAATTGTTCACATATTTCATTGTTATAGGCAAATACAAATACAGAAGGCAGAAATAGGTAAATTTAGTCACATAAATTTGTATGATATCTCAACATGTGTGAAATTGAGTAAATATTAGTATACCAACTGAAACACCCTATATTACGTACTATGGATCAATTAACAATATTTCAACCATACGCCGGTCATATAAATTATTATATGGCAGTGATATGTTAAAATTGGACAAATTTCAACACCTGAACAGGGTAAAAATTTGTAAATTTCGTCACAAAAAAATATGATAACTTTATTTGCTATTTGTTGGCAAAATAACTAGTTTATCGACATAGGTAATATGGTGATAAAGTAACATTATATCATAATCGAGGTATGGTTCTTCAAAATAGGGGCAAGAAATGTAAATTTCGTCACATACGTCATTTTAAAATTTAGATAGATTTTCTTTCATATCAATAGTCCTTATTATAGTTGGAATGGATTTATACAAGAAATGTAGAAACCCATGCCAATTTTTCATCACATTGAAATTATTGTACTGTTGGGGCAGAAAAGGTGAATTCTGTCACATTTCAGTAACTTAGTAAAATTAAACTCAGCATCGTTAAACTTGAGTTCTAATTTGCTGAACAATAATCAACCAATAATTCCTGGAAGAACATCGAATTCTAACCGAGGTATGGTTCTTCAAAATAGGGTCAAGAAATGTAAATTTCGTCACATACGCGTACGTCATTGTAAAATTTAGATACAATTTCTTTCACGTGAACAGTCCTAATTACAGTCTGAAATGATTAATACAGAGGAAATTTAAAAACCCCTGCCCATTTTATAATGTACGTAATATTATGTTAATCACAGACTATTTCATTCTATAATCATTGTTTCCAAATTTAACCTATTTACGATGTCGTATCATTTTGTGACGATGTTTACATCAACTGCCCTATACTTGAATCAATTGTATCCGTGTATCGTCCTTATATAGAGATTCCCCGCAAAATGTAACCTATTTATGATGTCTTATCATTTTGTGACGATGTTTACATCAACTGCCCTATACTTGAATCAACTGTATCCGTGTATCGTCCTTATATAGAGATTCCCCGCAAAATGTGACCTATTTACGATGTCGTATCATTTTGTGACGATGTTTACATCAACTGCCCTATACTTGAATCAACTGTATCCGTGTATCGTCCTTATATAGAGTTTTCCCGCCTTCCGAACCAAAATCAGATATAAATGATTATATATCAAATTCCATGTAAATTCTGTCACATAATATATTATGTGACAGAATTTACATCATTTCCCAATTACCAAGTGTATATATTTGCTAACTTTTCAAAACAACATATTTTAGGGCTATGATTGGCAGAAGAACCATCAAATAATGAGTTGAAAGGGTTTTGAGGACACCTCACAGTAGAAAAGAGGTCTCGTATTCTGAGTGTGACAAAGTTTACGAAATATTGCCTTAAAGCCGTTCGATCACTGCCCTTTAACCAATGTTGAATCATAATTGTTATATTGACCTAATCTACTATATTTTAGACCAAAAAATGCTGATCGGGCAGCTATGGTAAACAATGTCACAAAAATGTGACATTTTTTACATTATAGTGCCTAAAAGCAATACATTTTATTTCTGAGCGGTGCATATGGGAGTATGGGTCACGTGGCTAATGTTCAGAACTTATGAACATGCTAGATTAATAGATTCTAAAATTAAGCCAATATCGTCGAGAACGCTATTTTAGAAATTTACCAATATCCTCAAACTTCAATGAAAGTGTCCATATGCTTATATACTGCCGTTCCCTGAGAAAAGGCATTAAGTCCATTTTTACGAAATTTTGAGATATTGGTACAGAATTTTCAGGAGAAGATTCTCTACAACTTAAGCTATGAATCAAGTTATGAAAATACTGTTTTAGCTGTCACGAAAGGCAGCTTAAGTCACAAAAAACTTGAATATTTAGCTCGTTATCCCAAAACCTTCCCTGAGAAAAGGCATTATGTCCACTTTATTTGCAGTTTTTGTATTTTTTGGCCTAGAACTTCCACAGCTTTAGTTATATCGAAAAGATTTGTATGTGGTCGTTATCAGCTCAGCAAGCAAAAAATTTTGGTACCAATATTTAAAAATTTAAATAAATATTATTTTCAACATTTTTTTTCACACCCTTGTGTGAATTAATGAAAAAATTTTTGAAAAATTTGGTGCTTTAAATATCAAGTATGTTCAAATTTTTTTAACCCAAATTAATGCGTCTGACTGAATGCGATGCTGTAAAAGTTATTTCAATATATTCGATATTTAAGAAGAAATTTATCCATTTTTCGTCAATATTACATACTTGCAATGCACAGGAGGCTCACATAATTATACTGCAAAGATATGATCAAAAATATAGAAATGTTGTATTTTCTGGGTTGACTTTATTTGAGGAAAAATGGACTTACTGCCTTTCTAGAGAGGAATCGGTTAAATTCAATTCTGATTAAAGGCAGTAAGTCCGCAATTCCCTCAGAAAAGGCATTAAGTCCAATTCGGATGGGAAAATAGTTTAGTTATTCTGGAGAAAAATGGTTTTTATAGATCAGTGTTGGTGAATTTATGCTTTTAATCATGTTTAGGACATATGTAATAAAGCTTATTGAATGGGTTAAGCGAGCGACCGATTTCATTCTCGGTATCAATTTGAATTTGCGGACGGTTATTCAAATTAATATCATTTAATTTTGTTTGGGTAAGAAAGACATATATAATTATATTACTTCATCTTGTTACATTTTTACACGGTAAGTTAAGAAAACCATCTCATTATTTAAAAGTAGCCGTGTTCCTCCAAACCTACGACTTTAAGGAACTAAAAGTAGCTGTATTTCGCCGTTAACCTACACCTTATACTGTATACTTCATGATTGGGTCGTAATTCAAAAGCTAATTTGACAAGAACTAGAAGTGGGGCTCATTGGGTCACTTAACGTCACTTGCGTCACACTCACAGCGAAGGTATGTGTTTTCTGATCTAGGAACATGTACCTTGCTCGGATATTAGATTATGAAAATATGTGGAATTCTAATAGTAATAATATCGATCCAGGATTGTTCCGCAGAAGCAATATGAAGAGGTGCAAGGAACTTTTAATAGAATTCAACAATCAAAAGGTCGTACTCGTATGTGATTTGCCTTTAGTCACAGCAAAGGTATGTGTTTATTGCCTTTACAATTAGGTTACCTGTCTGCAGGAGTAGGACTATATCAGTATATCTGTATTCTGTATAATATTATATAGTCCTATAGTCCTACAGACTGGTAATATAATTGTCCAGCCTTATTATCTGGGAGCCTTATTTTTAGGAGCCTTATTTTCTAAGGTCCGACAGTCGACTCATTCTCGATACTTACCTCCTGTATCGAAAGCTCCCGCTTCCGAGCTCGTGTTGCAAAGGGGAGGCCTGCCTTCCGAGATCGCATTACCAGGCCTGCATGACAAAAAGGGAACAACTGTGTTTCACATGGGCAATCGCGCTCAAGGGGTCTGGTAGGATATGCCAATTGCATGTCATTCTTGATAATAACTTGTCTACTCTTGTTACATCTAGTCTGCTCTCGTAATTCGTTACTACGTACTGCTTGTAGATCGTTGATTTGATATATTACCATTAGCTATAATGTCTACACTCTACTGCTAAACAGAAAACATCATCGGTCTGGTCATACTACTCAGAGGAATGCGGAACTCCGTATGCACGTTGCAACAAGTGCTCAGTCAACTTGCAGCTTGCTGCTTGCCTATCAGAATTTCAATTATGACTTTCATTTGGTTGAAAATTGTACGAAAATTAGCTAAAAATTATTCGAAAATTTAGGTGGGGCACGAGAACTGTTAGTTAGACTGTAAACACTATCTTATTGTGTGATTCCACATGATAATGACAAATATCTAAAAATAAGGATATAAATTTAAATTTTGCGGCAAGTTCCGGCTGCCTTATATTTTACCCTCCAAACACCGGTTTTGGTCCGGCAGAATCCGGCTAACCGGATAATAAATTGATATCCGGCAAGATCCGGTCCGGCAGCCAAAAGCCCATTCCGGTCGGTTCCTAATAGGAACCGACCGGATATCCGGCTGAATCCGGATCCGGCCAGATATCCAGCTTCAATATCCGGTTCCGGCTCCGGCTCCGGTTTCAAAAATTTTGCCGGATTTTTTGCCGGATATTTCATTTTTAAAATGTATTTCTAAAATCTTGAAATGCATATTTTTGATGCACATTTCCTAACTGAACATATTTTGGCTATAATGACAGGGTAGCATGAAACGTGGAGAAAAGTGGTTTTCAGAAAAAATTTTGCCTTACAAAATTTTCGGTCTGAGTGATTCTCGATACGTACCTCCTGTATCGAGAGCTCCCGCTTCCGAGCTTGTGTTGCAAAGGGACAGAGAAAAGGCATTAAGTCCATTTTTACGAAATTTTGAGATATTGGTACCAAAATTTTCAGGAGAAGATTCTCTACAACTTAAGCTATGAATCAAGTTATGAAAATACTGTTTTAGCTGTCACGAAAGGCAGCTTAAGTCACAAAAAACTTGAATATTTAGCTCGTTATCCAAAACCTTCCCTGAGAAAAGGCATTAAGTACGTTTGTAGAGCCTTCTCTGAGGGAACTTTTTCTGTTCCCTGAGATTCCCTGAGAAAAGGCATTAAGTCCACTTTATTTGCAGTTTTTGTAGTTTTTGGCCTATAACTTCCGCAGGTTTAGTTATATCGAAAAGATTTTATGTGGTCGTTATCAGCTCAGCAAGCAAAAAGTTTTGATACCAATATTTAAAAATTTAAATAAATATTACTTTCAACATTTTTGAACCTGAACACAAGGGTCCCCCCTTGTGTGAATTATTGAAACATTTTTTGAAAAATTTGGTGCTTTAAATATTGTTCAAATTTTTTTAACCCAAATTAATGCGTCTGACTGAATGCGATGCTGTAAAAATTATTTCAATATAATCGAGGAAAAATGGACTTACTGCCTTTCTAGAGAGGAATCGGTTAAATTCGATCCTGATTAAAGGCAGTAAGTCCGCAATTCCCTCAGAAAAGGCATTAAGTCCAATTCGGATGGGAAAATAGTTTAGTTATTCTGGAGAAAAATGGTTTTTATAGATCAGTGTTGGTGAATTTATGCTTTTAAGCATGTTTAGAACATATGTAATAAAGCTTATTGAATGGGAAAAGCGAGCGACCGATTTCATTCTCGATATCAATTTGCATTTGCGGACGGTTATTCAAATTAATATCATTTAATTTTGTTTGGGAAAGAAAGACATATATATAACTTCATCTTGTTACATTTTTACACGGTAAGTTAAGAAAACCATCTCATTATTTAAAAGTAGCCGTGTTCCTCCAAACCTACGACTTTAAGGAACTAAAAGTAGCTGTATTTCGCCGTTAACCTACACCTTATACTGTATACTTCATGATTGGGTCGTAATTCAAAAGCTAATTTGACAAGAACTAGAAGTGGGGCTCATTGGGTCACTTAACGTCACTTGCGTCACACTCACAGCGAAGGTATGTGTTTTCTGATCTAGGAACATGTACCTTGCTCGGATATTAGATTATGAAAATATGTGGAATTCTAATAGTAATAATATCGATCCAGGATTGTTCCGCAGAAGCAATATGAAGAGGTGCAAGGAACTTTTAATAGAATTCAACAATCAAAAGGTCGTACTCGTATGTGATTTGCCTTTAGTCACAGCAAAGGTATGTGTTTATTGCCTTTACAATTAGGTTACCTGTCTGCAGGAGTAGGACTATATCAGTATATCTGTATAATATATAGTCCTAGTCCTACAGACTGGTTATCTAATTGTCCAGCCTTATTATCTGGGAGCCTTATTTTTAGGAGCCTTATTTTCTAAGGTCCGACAGTCGACTCATTCTCGATACTTACCTCCTGTATTGAGAGCTCCCGCTTCCGAGCTCGTGTTGCAAAGCGGAGGCCTGCCTTCCGAGATTGCGTTACCAGGGGAAGCCTCGAGTCCCCTCGAGACTACGTACTGCTTGTAGATCGTTGATTTGATATATTACCCTTGGCGGCTTGGCTATAATGTCTGCTGCTAAACAGAAAACATCATCGGTCTGGTCATACTACTCAGAGGAATGCGGAACCCCGTATGCACGTTGCAAGAAGTGCTCAGTCAACTTGCAGCTTGCTGCTTACCTATCAGAATTTCAATTATGACTTTCATTTGGTTGAAAATTGTACGAAAATTAGCTAAAAATTATTCGAAAATTTAGATGGGGCACGAGAACTGTTAGTTAGACTGTAAACACTATCTTATTGTGTGATTCCACATGATAATGACAAATATCTAAAAATAAGGATATAAATTTAAATTTTGCGGCATGTTCCGGCTGCCTTATATTTTACCCTCCAAACACCGGTTTTGGTCCGGCAGAATCCGGCTAACCGGATAGTAAATTGATATCCGGCAAGATCCGGTCCGGCAGCCAAAAGCCCATTCCGGTCGGTTCCTAGTCTTTATCTCACATTGGAATCTAACGTCCGCCAAGATAATAATAATGAATATTATATTAATCGATAAGGATGTACTGTAATTAATTATGAAACTCTAATTTCCTGTGGTTAACGTTTTTCAGTTTCAGTCCTTTTATTTATTTCGATTTAGCAATTCCTGATTACTAAAATCTGCCGAGATTTACTGAACTCCAACTACAAATATTGGTGATTTTAGTATTCTTGAAACGAAAAATTCACGGAGTTTTTTGAAAAGCTCAAGAGAGTACAACACATCACGCGATAAGAATGATAATGGGCTTGCTAGGTATCTTGGGAAAATTGTTTTACGTGTGTTTTTTTATTTAAGTCTTTTATCTAACTACTTCTTAAAGTTCTTAATAAAGCACTACCACTTATTTATTTTGATAAATAAGTTATTTAAAATAACCCAGGAAAATATGTATCACAAAGAGATTGGGAGAGCAGCAAATGTTACAAAAATATATGTTCTACACAATACAACAACCACTGACTTCATGAGGAGGATAGCTAAAGAAAAGAATGAAAAACTGTTGACTGAACCATTCTCTGTCATGAACATCTCACCAATCATAGATCAGATAGATAACTGGAAGAAATGGTTCGGATCGATTGAACCATATTATGCACTGAAAGCCCAGAATAATCCAGTAACACGGAGGCTGTTCCACAGGATGGGATTGGGCTACGACTGTGCATCATTGCCGGAGATTAATGGTGTAATTTCAACTGGATGTGATCCAAAGAAGATCATAGTATCCCATCCGTTCAAAAGCTACCACTGTGTATCAGGTTAGACCTCCATCCACCTAGTATTACAGTATCGTTTTTATCTACAATCAGATGTAATCAGTAACACTGTAATGGGTGGTACAATAACATCATTTGTAAGTTGTACTTTCCTAATACCCGTGAATTATTTTACATCTTATCGCAGAAATTATCAAGCGCAATATGCTGACCGTGGTGGATTCTTTACAAGAATGCGACAAGATCAAGAGGGTTTATTGGAATTTGAAAAATGAAACGTTCCCGTCGACTACAAACAAACATGGAGATTTAACAGAAATCAAAACTCCCCCTATCCTAATTAGAATTAAACCCTGTCAATTGGCAGTGAACAAAGTACATGTAAGTTCAATTCAATTTTGTGAACAATTTCAATCTCATTTCATACCCCCAAGTCTCATTGTGAAATTTTCACTTCACATAACTTAAAGAATTTTTGTACTAGTTAAATGATTCGCAGAAAATTTCCCTAAAGCTGTTATTAATTAAAACTGTTGTATCATAATGTATCATCATGTATTATAAACTCGGACTTCATTGGCAGTGATACCTTAAATTTTTCAGGTTGATTTTTCCCGAAAATTCGGTGTTGGTTGGTGCCACTTTGAAGAGCTTGTCAAGCATTGCAGAAAATTAGAACTAGAAATAAAAGGTATTGGTTTATTGGACATTTGGTGATATAATACTTACATATTATATATTATATATTATATAATTAATAAATTTTTTAATTTGTCTTAGAAATTATGGCCATTTAAAATCCGAACATTCTTTTTGCATCACCCCGTATTTCGCTCTTTTTGCTGCACCAAATTTATCATAATATATTTTATTGATTAATAGACTCAAGGCTGGGCAATTTTAACTTATTTTGATTCTCTTTTAAAGGAATCTCCTTTCATCCTGGATTGAGAGCAGACGATGCTGAACCGTGGACACAGACGATCCAGTTTGCTACAAAATGCTGGGAAGTCTTGCATAAACAGGGCTACAATCCAAACATTCTAGGTTAGTAGATGTTAAAACTCTAGAGTCTAGTATAGATTATGTAGATGCAATGATTACACTCTTGATACTTCGATAAGTAATTGATATCGTAATATTTCCGTTATTTCCTCTACGTCTGCAATGTTGTTTTAAAACTTTCAATTAAAACTTGATAAAGTAACAACTCCAGATATTGGAGGTGGGTATAAAGGTCAAGATGGTGAAAACATGCCAACCGAAGAAATCGGCAATCTAATTCAGCGATCAGTACAGAATAACTTTCACTCGATTGGAGAGTACCCAACTGTAGTAGCAGAGCCTGGCGCGTAAGTTGCTCAACTTTTAGTATCCATTGTAATATTATAATGTACTGTTCTTATTAATAGATTAAAAATTCATATATCATTTTCATATATTAAAATTCATTTATAAATTAATTAATCCAATCTTCCGATACTGATTATATAGTCATAGACTAATTATCTAAATAGGCAAATTCGACACATTGACTTTTGTCCCCCCCCCCTTCTCCTCTCCCCTCCCTCCCCCGGCCCCCTCCGTATTTACCCAAACAGTGTCATTGACATTTTTAGTTTCAGGTTTATGGTAGGAAAAAGCCAAAGTACAGCAGCATGTGTTTTAGGGACCAGATTTGAGGACTCTTACCCAGAATACCACCTGTCTATTGGGTGCTACAATGGATTAATATGGCATCTCAACGACCCCAAATATCCTAATAAGATTGAACCTTTGATTCTACAAAACCCTTCTTCAGAAAAGGTTTGATTAGGAACCAATTAGGAACTTTCTACCGCCGATCCCTTTATTGACGATACTGATAGATTGAAATATTTTTGTATTGGTAATTATGTTATTTATAAGTAATATGATACTGGTAGTTATAAAATGCAATGACAGACGAATAACGTACTGTATTTTGCAATAAAACGATGTCACGTGACAGGTTGAGAAGTTGCAGAAGTCGCACATATGGGGCGTATCGTGTGATGGGGCAGACGATTTGGGAGAAAGAAGAGTTCCTAAACTAACAGAGGGAGACTGGGTTGTTTACTCTGAGATTGGTGACTACTGTAATGAGCAAAACACTGTTTCCTTCAATGGATTCTATCCACCGGAGATGATTTACTGCTGCGAAGAGAGACATTCACAGCAACTTCAGTATTTGTTGGCAGAACCGGAATTTGAATTTATTGATCCTATTGAATCTCAGCAAATTTCATACACACTCTCTGGCTCGTAGGACTAACCCCCGGCCCCCCCCCCCCCCCCCCCACAGCTAGTGTAGTGCCCCGGCACAGAGTGGCTTAGGGTTATTATTTTTATATCACACCTCTGTTGAGGTAATGCTCAAGTGACCCCTTAACGATTATGTGATAAGAGTGTGATACATATATAATATATGTTTTAAATTTATAGTACAGACCCGTAGTCCGTACCTTATGTTTTACATTTTATTTTAGTTACAATTGACACGATGAAGTATGTCAAACAAATTTAAAAAATGTTATTCTAGTTTCAGCCTTAAAAGTAAAACAGAATTTATCACTTAACTCGAATTGGAAAAATAAATGCAGTCAATGCTATGAGTTGAACGATAAATTAATTCAATAGATAAAATAATATTATCTAAATTAAAATAGTTTGTTTCTAGAAGCTAAAGAAAGCGCAATAAAAACTCACGTCTCCCTTCTCCAAGTCCCATGTTTCCATCTTGCCCTTAAAGTTTCCAGTAGCCAGGTGCCTGTCTTGCAGAGCTGTTGCTCCGAATGTACAACATTTTATCTCGTCCTTCTTCTCGTACTGAAATTATCTTTGATAAGCTTTTCGTACAATTCTAATTTCTATTGATATTTAAGTTTAGCTTACTTGTAATCACGTTTCAAAAGAAAGTGGCGCCTTCAGGTACACTGGGGGGCATAAAATGGCATAAAATGGAAAAACCCTTGAGTAATTCCCCATTTTATGCCATTGGCCCCCCTGTACACTGATACAGGCTTTACTACCACTTAATTACTACTTAATGATTAGTAACATGGTTAAATCGAATGTGTAACTATTATCAGTAGATTAGACACCATAAACAATTGAACAACTGAATGAATATAAATTACAGGTTGCCCAAGATTAATTCGAGACTTTTAGACATATCAACATTAAGCTCCATTGTGTAATCCAACTTTGATCCAAAGTTAATCAATTCAATGATGTTAGGACGTTAGATGGTAACGTCAACTAATGAAAACAGGAGATATTTTGAGTCTATTGAGTAAACGTTCAATTTTCCATCTGATTTATGGTATAAACGATGAACAAAACATGGGTTCACATTACCAGCATTTGTTTTAAAGATCCAATTTCACATCCTGCAGTACATATTGTGTAATCGTATTTATTCTCCTATGGAAATGCACATAGTGTAGTATCGTGTTTTACTATTTAAGTTACGTCATAGCTATGTGACGTCATAGTAGCTATGATAATTATTTCTTTTTTAAGCAGTTTCTTGCACAATGTCCAGATCATAAAAACGGTAAACTCGTCTCACTTTTCTTGAAAAATGACACGAATTTTTTCATTTTGGCAGTTAAACATATTTTCGGCAGTTAAGTTATAATGTTGTTCGATGTGTTGTTGGTTGCTGGTTAGCTAGATGTTTAAAAACGAACTCAGAGTGCCCTTAACCCGAACAGCATTGATCATTTGTAAATAATGGTTCTTTCACAATGTACAGTGTACAATGTACAAGGTACAGTGTACAATGTACAATGTACAATGTACGATGTACATATTGTACAATGTACAATGTACAATGTACAATGTACACCCCATTGGGCTACTTTTTAAACTGAACCACTTCGAATTTTACCAAATCTTTTATTCTTAGATCGTAACATATTATTAAATATATTTTTTGGTTATAATGTTATGATTGCATTATTTATTTTAGATTTATTGTATTTCAGTATTATTATGTTATAGGATGGAAGTGCTTTAAGCAGGTGTAGCCAGTCCACACCCTTGCTCCATGATATGAAGGACTTGTATTAATTCTAAAGTTCTAAATGAAAAGCTAGAATATGCAATTTTCATTCGGGTTTAAATGACGAATGGTTTTAATTGTTGCAAATTTCGTTTGCACAGAAAGTAACAAGGACAGAATAAATATTGTACGTAATTATTAATTAATCATAAAATTCCAAGAGTATTAAAATATCTCTCTCTCTCTCTCTCTCTCTTTCTCTCTCTGAATAATTTGGCCGGGCGTTGATTTTTGACATTCCATTCTTATATTATGAATTGTATCATGGTTGTATGCCCTGCCCGCTGATCATTTAAAATTGTTTCATAGTGAATTTGCTATTTTTGCCGATTTATAAGCAAACTGTTTCAGGAGTTCTGTTGTGTGCTTATGTTACGGCACAAGACTAAGACAACAGTCTTGGCAGCATTTTCCGACGTAAATTTGGTGCATTTTAAGAGTGTAAAATCGATCACAGGTAAGGACCCATTTTAATACTGGCCGGTGAGCTTCAATTGTACAATTGGAGCGTTTTTGTATGATACCCAGAACTCAAATGATAATTCTGTTGTACAGTGTGTAAAACATGTAAGTGGAATACAGGAATGTGGATGCTTGTAAATCTTTGTTTTTGGTTTAATAACACTTTAAGATCTTTAGCCATCATGGGATGTTGCGTGAGGAACAGCTACAGTAGACATAATGGAATTTATTTAACAATGGCGACAGCGTTGTTAGTATTCGGATTCCCAAAACGATACTTTTTACCGCATCAAAAAATACCAATCACAACCAAAGTTATGAATATAAGTCATAGCGTGAGCGTAAATGTGAGCTAGTTTTGAAGTTATGACGTTAAGATGTTCTTGCTCGAGCACGTGCATTTTTATCGTTGCTACGCAACAGCGCAGTAAACCTTTGCTAAAATAACGCCATTATTCTAACGATTATTTAACCTCACTTCCGACGTTAATTATAAAAAATCTAAAGCCTAAATCAAAATTCTAAGAATGCTATAGCCTATTCCTATCCTTTTTCTACAACCCTGCTAAAAATGGCGAGGTTTCAACTCCATTTGCGAGCTGGGTTTGGCTTCACCAGAGGATCATTTTGAGGTCGATTTTCGGTGTTTTTTCTTCTATGTCCCCGTTGCCGGGGAAATTTCGTCAAGTTTAAAATATTGTATAGATATATATAATATGACTATTTACTATTTTTCCATCACAGGCTTGGAACCATTTTAATAATGGCCGGTGCTTCTTTTCTATTCGATCTTTTCAATCTTTTATTTCACATTTAGAGACGAGCGTTTTGTTTGATACCCAGAATATTTAATAAACTCCAATGATAATTCTGTCGCCCAACTAAGCTGCTGATATTTGTTTGTGTTATAGATCACGTTTCGATTCATCATCATCATAAACAAATAGACTGTTGGGTATAACGAACCCCTGGCCCAGGGCCCTACAGCCAGTTGAATTGTTGTAAGTCTGCCACCCTGATAATATAGTGAGCTTAAAAGAAAAACACTTAAACTGTAATTATGTAACTTCCAAATAGCATATTAGCAATTTAAGATTTGAGGCTTCTTTTAAACACAAATGTCTATATTTAGACATTTAATATGAATAACAAAAAGCTACTCCATGACATATTCAGAGGAAAGAAAATCACTATAACTTAGCCAATCTTTGCTAGCATTATTTAAAACAACCATTTGGGTTCCTTTTTGCTGATTTTGTTGTTCAGGTGACTTAAGCTGTTGCGATAATTTCTTAAACTTCACTCCGCAGACTTCACATTAACAATCAGTTTTATATTACAGCAAATTGTAACGAGGAAACAATAGAAATGGTGGTAAACTTTTCCACGAAAGACAGAGAAGTTTTACTACCAGCACTAGCAACCTGCGCCAATGACTGTTACTTGTTTGATAAGACCTTGGACGTAGAACAATATGCTTATGAGCTAGAGGAGTACAGGTTATTTAATAATAGTTAAAATAGTTAAAATAGTTAATAATTAATAGTTAACAGTACTATGTTTACAGTATGCACTGAAGGGGTATCCTGGGAAGTTTTTTGAACTTTTAACAGGTACCCCTCCTCATTTAACCCTCCATTAAGTTTCCTATCATTCGGCTGAGTCGACCGAGAAGATTGCATATATCCAATGGATCCTTAGCTACTCCCTAGACTAGGTGACACATTTTTTCTACTCAGATATCTCATTTGTTGAAATATACACAAGTATTAAACCATGTTACATTTTTGGGAGGATACCAACATCAGCTCTGATGTTAAGATAAGGGAAAATGTTCAGTAGAGAATAGAGATGATATTTCTCGGTTCTCAATGCAAATGTCCAATACTCAAAATATTATGGAATCAGGGTAGAAGAGAAAGGAAATAACACAGGAATAGAAGCGCAGTATACTATGTACAAACTGAAGGTTGAGGGTGAACATCATGGTAAACTCCTCCTAGCGATCAGAGGAACATGGACTCTTCAAACACTCTTACAAGACCTCTCTTTGTTAGATTTCGGACAGGTGGGTTTTCATCGTCTAGTCAATGCTAATAAATAGTTATCAAGCCTGGTCCCTGTTGATATAATGGTCTGTATAAAACATGTCATCTAAATGATGTTGGTGGCTGTGAACTATCATCTAAACATCCAATAACAAGCAGTGCTATTTAATGGATTGTTGGACAATTTAGTGGACACTATAATTCCAATGTTCAGGTGCTGATACAGCTGAAATTAGGTAGAGCTGGAGAAACACTAGGCTGGGAGAGGATAAGGAAGGCATGTGATCACATGGTGGAAGTGGCAAAAGAGCTGAATCCTGACTTTATCACAGGACACTCACTAGGAGGTCTGATTGCAGAGGTGGTAGCTTCTCACACCAGAATACCAGGAATTGCCTTCAACAGTCCGGGACCAGTGGGATGCATTACCGAAACTCCTTTATACAACACAGACAAAACATTTTACGAGGGTCTACAATTCGAAGTGCATCTGAGAGAAAATGATCCTGTAAGTCAGTTGAACTACGAATGGCACATAAATAAGAGTCCTATATGGCATCCTGGATCAAACCATGGCAGTGATTTCATGGCAATAGACATCCAGAAAGACTATTCGACTGTTATAAAAGTTGAAGCATTTGTTGGAGTAGCAAAACCACTTCTCTCTTTCAACAAAAGAGAGGACTCAAACAAAAATTCAACCAGAGTTTTGAAATGGATTTTTAGAAATGAAAGTGGTTGCTGTGTAATTCAATAAAATTGTGATTATGATAGTGATGTTATTTGAGAACAAATAATCAATTTCCTTATTTTCCACCCAAAAAAGTCAAACTCTCAACAAGTCTGCCTATTTCAAAATGGTATGTTTGATACTTGATGAATTGTGCTAGGTTAACTATACTCTGTATCCTGATTCGGTGTTTATTAATTTAATTTGAAAAATTGAAATAAATTTAGACTAAAGTTGACTTAGTTAACTGTAAAGTTAACTATACTTTCACATGTTACAATTTAGGATAACAAATTTAAGTACCTAAAAATTAGTGCTCTCACCAACTAGTTACTTGAAATCAGAAGAAACTTTAATCATATTGTATAAATTCTAGGCCATCTCCCTTAGTTAATATACCTACATTCTTATGATGATCAAAATCTAAAATATATGGCTACAATGAGCATTTTAATAACAATATTAATTCAATCCTATAATGTGCCATGTAATAATATTAAAACCGTTGTATGTATCTACTTAAGGGGAGATACACCAAAAACGTTTTTACTCCGAACATCGATTTTATTTTATATTATGGTTAAATAGACAAAAAGAATAAGATTGCACACCTTCAAAATTTTCTAAAAATATTAAAATTTGGAGAAGTCTGTCACTGTAATATCGATAGTTCGGCCATTTTAAAAGTTTTTTGGCTGATTCTTTTACTGAAGATTACTTACACTCCGTACAAGACAACCCTTTAAAGGATTATTTCATTGAACAATAAATGATTAAGTTACAGACCGAACAAGGTGAAAAAAGAAAAATTGGGATTTTTACTTACCACCAAAGTTGTACATTTTACCACTCGCCCAGGTCATCAGATATCGCTTCAAAAATTCTTGTGAGTGTAGCTGATGATAATATCAAACTTTTTGGAACATGATTTCTCTCAGTTTTGAGTTTTAAGGTATGAAATGTGGCCTAAACGACTTAGTAAAATTCATCGTAAAAAAGGGCCAAACATGGCAGATTTAAGGCTTAAAATGCCTATAACTCAAAAAGTATCAGTTTTTTTTGAAATAATTTTTACAGGATCGTAATCAGCTTGGTAAGACAAATCTTTTAGTACCAAATTTATAATAGTTAAAGACACAAAATTTGTAAAAAAATGTGTACAATTTGTACAAAATTTATACAAGGGGGGACCCTTGTGTTCGAGCTAGAAAATTATTTAAGACAATTTGTCTTCTAAAATCACCTATTTGGTACTAAAAGATTCGTCTTTTCAAGCTGATTACGATTCTGTAAAAATTATTTCAAAAAAACTGATACTTTTTGAGTTATAGGCATTTTAAGCCTTAAATCTGCCATGTTTGGCCCTTTTTTACGATGAATTTTACTAAGTCGTTTGAGGCCACATTTCATACCTTAAAACTCAAAACTGAGAGAAATCCTGTTCCAAAAAGTTTGATATTATCATCAGCTACACTCACAAGAATTTTTGAAGCGATATCTGATGACCTGGGCGAGTGGTAAAATGTACAACTTTAGTGGTAGGCAAAGATCCCAATTTTTCTTTTTTCACCTTGTTCGGTCTGTAACTTGGTCATTTATTGTTCAATGAAATAATCCTTTAAAGGGTTGTCTTGTACGGAGTGTAAGTAATCTTTAGTAAAAAATCAGCCAAAAAAATTTTAAAATGGCCGAACTATCGGTATTGCAGTGACAGACTTCTCCAAATTTTAAAAATTTTCGAAAAAGAAAAATATTTTTTTTTCTCGATGAGGTAATATTTTTAGAAAATTTTGAAGGTGTGCAATCTTATTCTTTTTGTCTATTTAACCATAATATAAAATAAAATCGATGTTCGGAGCAAAAACGTTTTTGGTGTATCTCCCCTTGACTATACCTTCTTAGAGCAGATAAGTTCTTTTTGTCCCATCTCGAAAACTTGCATTGCTCCTGTGCCACGTGCATGACTTCCAACAACGACAAACCTGGGTACAATAATGTTATGTGGCAATTCTCAGCAAAGTTGATACTTGTATAATATTAAGTGATACAGGTCCAAATCTGATGAAATCCATTTTGAAACAAAAGCTTTAATCTTACCTGGCACTACAAGGTATCCATCTGACGTCAAAGATAGTATAATCAAGGCTTTTCTCAAGATGAGCAATGATTTGAGGATTTTCTAGACCACTTGCCATCATCCTACTAAAATAATGAATAACGGTAAGAAAATTATTGGAAAATTGTGAATTTGTCCTTTATATTCACTTAAATGATGAAACACGATTGAATGGTTCCTATTGGAGTTATAACACAGGATGAGATCAAGTTTACCACAAGAAAGATACAACTTTCCTTGGTCCAGGATATGTAGTTGGTCAGCTAGCTAATTCAGTGCTGATCAAACACGGAAAAGCACTAATCCGTGAAAACCCCCTGCAAAACAGTACTAAAGAAAAGAGCTGATGAGATGGTAAATGGGAAGAGCTCAACAACTAATGATGTAGCAGAGAAAAAAAGACCTCACCCAAAGGCAGAGGCTCACGATTCTCATAACATGAGAGCGATGGAGAGCACAGAACTCACACAAAGACAAAGACCCACTTCTCAGGAGCGGGTATGGTTCAGAAGAAGAAGAAGAAGAAGAGTCAACTCTTACTTCAGTTGTTAATATCTCGTCTACAGCAGACAAGAAGAGACCACTCTTTGCCCCTTCATCTCACCAGAATCGGAGAAGAGTTTTACCTAAAGTAAAGTAGATGATACAATACAAAAGTATTGATTTTGAGTGAAGGTTGAAACAGTGGACTGGTGGACAGTCAAGTTATAACTTACAAACAGACGGTGTTGATCAAGCTCAGGTTTAATACTTGACGAATAAAGAAGTAGAAAGATTGCTGTTCATGGAGTGTATCAAGAAGTAAAAGACATCGGACAGAGCACAGTTTAAATATGTTCTAGATGGATCATCACGAAGACTGATATGATAACTGGCTACAATGAGCATTTTATTGACAATAAATAGTAATTTTAAATATCCACCTTACAAATTATATTCCACTAAAACGTTATAAACCCTTAATAATTTAGTATAAAATTAAAGATCCTAACAATTACTACACTTCAATACACTAAAGTAAATGTTTGTATAGTAGCACAAAATAATTGACTTTACCAGTTACTTGACGTTTACAAATGAAACTGAGGTCGAAGATGCCACTGTATTGGTTCTCAATGGTTACTGAAACAAAATTTTTCCAAAATATCAATTTGAAGCAGTCCATATCTGCTTTTCTGTAAACTGAACAGCTCAAATAGAAAAACTATTCCCATGAAATTACGACAAAGACTGATGGTAATTAGTAAAGTAAAAGTAGAATTAGTAGTATGAGCATGTGGATTTGTTTTCCTAGTTGGATACTATTTATTCGGATATATATTAATTAATTGATTGTATAATAAATTGGTGATGAATAATAAAATTGCCTACGATTTTTTCAGCAATTGTCTTTTCTCAAGCATCTAATCATTAATCAAGTGTCAAGGTTTGGCAAATTTGTTTTCAGAGTAAAAGAACAAGAACAAGACAAGAAACAAACTATGCCATGCCACGCATTTCAGTAAAATCATTGCAAGAATGTTTTTCAGAATAAAACAAATATTAAAACAATATTGGTTTTTTGGTTTTGCAGCCGTACAAAACGGTTTTACATAAACTCTAATACCAACCCTAAACATAACCATAACCCCGAAGCTATCCATAATCTTAACCACAACCCTAACCCTAACCCGACTCCTAAATAATCGAATTCACGTTTTACTAGCCTGTCACGTGACCAAAACGGTTTTTTGCCAATTATAACTCTCCAGGGAAGCATTTTAACCCTATATGTCATGGGGGTGATTCGGAATCAGCGTCCAAAAATACACCGATCTAAATCACTTTCATGCCTAAAAGGCCTTTTCATCATTCATGTTCACAAGAATTTTCTTAAAATTTTAGCGAGCGATTTAGTAAGAGCGATGTTTTTGACGAATAATATAATACCATTTTTAATTTTCCCAATATTAGCGCGCTTTATTCCTTTTTAATGTATATAAGAATGATTTAAAAATCTAAATTGAAATGTAAATGATTGTTGTCTAATGCTAATGGACGAGCCCGGCGCGCGCTATTTCTTGTATCAAGTCGTAACCCCCATTGTCGTTTCACTATAGAGTCTTTACGATACAAGGGAGCCGTGCACTTGTGCGCGGCGGTCATACAACGTATGACAAGCTATTTCGTAGCACTTGCCTTTGTAGCACGATGCGTTACTGTGCCGCGCCGCGCACTCAATTATGCTTCTCGCGCGCAACGACGAGATGCGCTACTGTGCCTCGCCGAGCTACGATGAAATGACATCGTCAATTAACACTTGCCTTGGGCAATATTTCGAGAAGAAAGTTAAGCGGCGCGCTACTTTAAACAAATTTAGACGAGTAACATCCGTCAATTTAAAACGCAAACGAAAAGATTTAGTTTGCTTTAGCTTTTTTAAACGCAAAAAGATCACGCGACGTTCGCGTTGTAAACTTATAAATTACTAATATAATATAACTTGTTCTAACTTGTAGGTTTACAACCTACCAGGACGCGCGCCGAGTTGGACTCGTTGACGGTCCTGGTAGGTAGAAATACGACTCAATTACGGCAGAAAAGTGCCGTAGATGCTGATTGGCTGAGACGTGTGCGCCAATAGGAGAGCTTATATTGAGTCACGTGAGCTATGCGCGGCGTAAAATCACTCTGCAGTTCGAAATTCTGTGATAAAATCGAGCGCTCATCAATTTTGTCTGGCTCTGTAACTTCACTTCCTCACGCAGTTTATAATCGATTCATTGTTGTTTTGTTCGCTGTCTATGACCGTATTAAAATTAAGCTTAACATTTGATAACAGATTCTATTCACTTCCAGCTTTAATTTGATCACTTGCTGAGTTGCATGTCATTTGTTTGATTGTTTCCAGATTCAATCTGACCGGTGTATCATCAATCAATATTACGGTTCAGTCATTCAGTGGGCCATAATTAAGCTGCTACCTGCAAATGCAGATGAACAAACGAATATTGTGGTGCATGCCAATGTAAATGAAGGTTTTTGTCGCTTACCTTAATGTACAATTAATTTTGAAAATCAAACATATTTTTGCTTTTGGCATTGTTGATGCGACCTAACCCGATCGTTTTTGCTATAACTATATCCCTTGAACTATATATTCAAGACTAGAATTTCGAGTTCTTCTTATGCTGCAGTTACTCGAAATATCGTATGATAATGATAATCTAAATCATTGGCTAGAAATGACGTGACACACTTGTAATCCAGTGGCAGTAATGTTTATTAACGGCATTACATGGAGTCCCTGTTCATTTTACCAAATAATGAACTGTGACTAAACTTCCAAGTTGAATTCTTTAACTTGCCCCTCGGACGTTATTCCACAGTAACAGACCTGATACAACGTGAGGGACACCAGTTATATATCGGTTATTAAATATAATGCTGATGTGTTAAGTTATTAATTGTTTCTAAGGTGTGTCCCAATTCCCATACATCCGTTTACACTCAGTGTGTACTGAACGATTTGCTTATAATAACAAGAACCCATTTGTGTATTAAAACATAGACCTCAGTTTGTAAAGTAAATCTTTTGAGTTTGCAAAGTAAATCTTTTGAGTTTGAACACCTCCTATTTACCATGGTGATAATTCCAGAGATATCACGCGATTTGCTAACCAAGTAAATTGTTATAATTGAATGCGTAGAGTACACTAATCATTGGCTTTTACTTTTACTGGCAGTAATTTTTATTGAACTGTGACTAAACTTCCAAGTTGAATTCTTTAACTACCCCCTCGGACGTTTCCATAGTAACTAAGTAACAGACCTGATATAATAACGTGAGGGACACCAGTTATATATCGGTTATTAAATGTAAGGCTACTACGATTAGCTATTAATTGTTTCTAAGGTGTGTCCCAATTCCCATACATCCGTTTACACTCAGTGTGTACTGAACGATTTGCTTATAATAACAAGAACCCATTTGTGTATTAAAACATAGACCTCAGTTTGTAAAGTAAATCTTTTGAGTTTGTAAAGTAAATCTTTTGAGTTTGAACACCTCCTAGTTACCATGGTGATAATTCCAGAGATATCACGCGATTTGGTAACCAAGTAAATTGTTATAATTGAATGCGTAGAGTACACTAATCATTGGCTTTTACTTTTAGTGGCAGTAATTTTTATTGAACTGTGACTAAACTTCCAAGTTGAATTCTTTAACTAGCCCCTCGGACGTTTCCATAGTAACAGACCTGATATAATAACGTAAGGGACACCAGTTATATATCGGTTATTAAATGTAAGGCTACTACGATTAGCTATTAAGTGTTTCTAAGGTGTGTCCCAATTCCCATACATCCGTTTACACTCAGTGTGTACTGAACGATTTGCTTATAATAACAAGAACCCATTTGTGTATTAAAACATAGACCTCAGTTTGTAAAGTAAATCTTTTGAGTTTGTAAAGTAAATCTTTTGAGTTTGTAAAGTAAATCTTTTGAGTTTGAACACCTCCTAGTTACTATGGTGATAATTCCAGAGATATCACGCGATTTGGTAACCAATTAAATTGTTTTAATTGAATGCGTAGAGTACACTAATCATTGGCTTTTACTTTTAGTGGCAGTAATTTTTATTGAACTGTGACTAAACTTCCAAGTTGAATTCTTTAACTAGCCCCTCGGACGTTTCCATAGTAACAGACCTGATATAATAACGTAAGGGACACCAGTTATATATCGGTTATTAAATGTAAGGCTACTACGATTAGCTATTAAGTGTTTCTAAGGTGTGTCCCAATTCCCATACATCCGTTTAGACTCAGTGTGTACTGATCGATTTGCTTATAATAACAAGAACCCATTTGTGTATTAAAACATAGACCTCAGTTTGTAAAGTAAATCTTTTGAGTTTGCAAAGTAAATCTTTTGAGTTTGAACACCTCCTATTTACCATGGTGATAATTCCAGAGATATCACGCGATTTGCTAACCAAGTAAATTGTTATAATTGAATGCGTAGAGTACACTAATCATTGGCTTTTACTTTTAGTGGCAGTAATTTTTATTGAACTGTGACTAAACTTCCAAGTTGAATTCTTTAACTACCCCCTCGGACGTTTCCATAGTAACTAAGTAACAGACCTGATATAATAACGTGAGGGACACCAGTTATATATCGGTTATTAAATGTAAGGCTACTACGATTAGCTATTAATTGTTTCTAAGGTGTGCCCCAATTCCCATACATCCGTTTACACTCAGTGTGTACTGAACGATTTGCTTATAATAACAAGAACCCATTTGTGTATTAAAACATAGACCTCAGTTTGTAAAGTAAATCTTTTGAGTTTGTAAAGTAAATCTTTTGAGTTTAAACACCTCCTAGTTACCATGGTGATAATTCCAGAGGTATCACGCGATTTGCTAACCAAGTAAATTGTTATAATTGAATGCGTAGAGTACACTAATCATTGGCTTTTACTTTTAGTGGCAGTAATTTTTATTGAACTGTGACTAAACTTCCAAGTTGAATTCTTTAACTAGCCCCTCGGACGTTTCCATAGTAACAGACCTTGAATAATAACGTAAGGGACACCAGTTATATATCGGTTATTAAATGTAAGGCTACTACGATTAGCTATTAAGTGTTTCTAAGGTGTGTCCCAATTCCCATACATCCGTTTACACTCAGTGTGTACTGAACGATTTGCTTATAATAACAAGAACCCATTTGTGTATTAAAACATAGACCTCAGTTTGTAAAGTAAATCTTTTGAGCTTGTAAAGTAAATCTTTTGAGTTTGAACACCTCCTAGTTACCATGGTGATAATTCCAGAGATATCACGCGATTTGGTAACCAAGTAAATTGTTATAATTGAATGCGTAGAGTACACTAATCATTGGCTTTTACTTTTAGTGGCAGTAATTTTTATTGAACTGTGACTAAACTTCCAAGTTGAATTCTTTAACTAGCCCCTCGGACGTTTCCATAGTAACAGACCTGATATAATAACGTAAGGGACACCAGTTATATATCGGTTATTAAATGTACTAGGCTACTACGATTAGCTATTAAGTGTTTCTAAGGTGTGTCCCAATTCCCATACATCCGTTTACACTCAGTGTGTACTGAACGATTTGCTTATAACAACAAGAACCCATTTGTGTAAATATTACATTTTATCATACCTACTATTTAAGCTTCAATTGTCCGTTGAACATGGATATTAAAACATAGACCTCAGTTTTTAAAGTAAATCTTTTGAGTCTGAACACCTCCCAGTTACCATGGTGATAACCCAAGAGATATCACGCGTCTTTCTAACCCAGTATCGCTATAATTGTATAATCGAATCCTTAGAAAGTGCAATTATCATTGGCTATTAATGACGTGAGATAGTTGTAGTCTAGTGGTAATAATGTTTTTGGCTAGCTGACTGAACACGCCATTTTGGAACTAAATTGATCGTTTCCAGGTCCCCGGACAGTTTCATCTTTAAATATCTTAGTTAATTAGTTTAAATCAGACTTATAGACAATAGATTACAGAACCCTTGATTTCATCGCCTTTGTACACTGCAGTACAGGAGTAAAACTCCTACATACAATCGGAAAATGATCTGACGGTGTACACTCTTTAAATGTATGATAACCTCCTTTTAAAATAAAATATATATTTTTAACAAATTTGCTGTTAATTAATACTTGAGTATTTAGTATCCGTGTAAATAAGTCCTCTTTACTGGTTTTTGTCGTTGCTTAGTAACCTTAAAATGTGTGCTTTTAACGGTATAAATACGGTAAATATTTAACTCAGTGAGATTATCATGAACTAATACTCTTCAAAATTTCGTTAGCCAGGACTGATCTAGTGCAAGATGAAGTACTGTTAACTTTTAACGAGAACAAGCAGAGTTAAGTTTTCGTTATGGAGAATGGAAAATGTAAGCAAGTGATTTTTAAATATCATTTTCTACTGATAAGTTTTTAATTTATATTACAACAGGTAAAAACTGTCTTCTTCTCTGTTGGACGTTGGTAGGTTAAACATTTGTGTCATTGTAAACTAAAAGTTAAATTATTTAAACGTATTTAAATTGATACATCTCACTAATTCAATATATTTATCCAGGTGTTTGGGCAGAGTCGGACAGATTTTAGAAAATCGCTAGGGTACCATCCTGCAGAAGATGGTGAACATATTTATTAATAATAAGCACTGCTACATTTGACTAGAATATGATAGAGGAGGGAAAAATCCAACAGGTGAATTAAAAGCCCGAGCTATAATACCACTCTTTCTTAACTTTAACTATCTCATCAATCAAGGTTCTTCAAAACTGTCTTCTTCTCTGTTGGTAGGTTATACATTTGTGTCATTGTAAACTTAAAGTTAAATTATTTAAACGTAATTAAATTGATACATCTCACTAATTCAATATATTTATCCAGGTGTTTGGGCAGAGTTGGACAGATTTTAGAAAAGCGCTAGAGTACCATCCTGCAGAAGATGACGAACAAATTAGCACTGCTACATTTTACTAGAATATGATAGAGGAGTTATACTGTTATTCTCCCCTTTGCTTTTTCGCTGAAGCTCGTTTACGGACAACACTTCCCCTGGAACTGGATCACGATCACGAAAGATAAAACCCGAAGGTGACCTACTCTGATCTTGTTATCTCAGATTCTCACAAAGTAAATTTATCATAATTTTCGCATACCCCTCTAAGTAAGACAGTGCTAATTTAGTCGTTTACTATTATATGTTTCGATGAAATTTTCTAATTTTTTTAATAGACTCAGTTTCTAATGAAATTAAATCGTGAAACCATTTTCTAATGTCATTTATTGTTAACTTGAATGCAACTTGGTCGTGAAATAGTTTATTTTATTTCTGTGCAAATTTGTAGACTTATAAGTCAACTACTTGCAGGATAAGATTTTCAACAGAACCAAAACTCAAGAGCGGTACCCAAAACAAAGATGTGGTTTGCAAGGGAAGCAGTGGTCAAATATCCTGTTCAAACTAAACAGAATTCTCGTCAGATCCGGTAAAATTATAATGATTTGATAAAATTATCGATGCAAATGACAATCTTTTAGCTTACAAAATCAGTCAAGCAATCTTGACCATATTGTTGCAGATTTTGAACTATACCGCCGCAACCACATATAATGACTTAAAGGAATACTTAAACCAAGTTTGGGAATCACTTCATGTCTAGAACCGATGTAACAAATGTTCCACTTTTGTCCCAATAATCCTCCTGGGTATCCCATATTCAATTTGGCGACCAATTTGGTATTATATTTTCGTTAAAGCTCCTATCAAAATTATGTACAATTAGCACACGTACTTTACCTGAATTCTCTCCAAGAGAAGTGGGCAAATAAAATAATATATTGTTGTAATATTTCAACTTCATAGTTCATGACCGAAATGTTGTAACGAGATGTACACGATCGCTTACTTTGTCATTACTTTATTACAGTAATCTATAAATAATCATACTTTACAGACATCCCTTTACACGCTGTAGGGTGAACACTGCACATAGGCGTATCATTGCACTTAAAATTCAACATTAACCATGTACACGCACTAATTGCCCATTTTTGTCGAGAAATGGTACATGAAAATGTAACCATTTATCGACAGAAATACGAACGAATACCAACCTTCCCAATAACACCAGTTTGTATCTAAACATTTGCTCCTAATAGCAACACTGACGTAATTTGTTTTATTTTCAGTTACTGATGGACTGACCTGCCATTGTGTGATACTGATAGTGCGCCGAAGGACCTCTCTGACATGAAAACGGCTATTTCTGGAAGATAATGTACTGCTGGGAATAATTTATACTCTATGTTAAATTGTTAATGGTCTCCTTCTCCTTAAACTGTAAAACATACACTATATATAGGTGAGAACATATTAGAATTTTTGGAATATATGGCTTACAAATACAATTTAGTCACACTGCAGTAGGCTTAATATTCAATATTGTAAACAGTCATAATTGTAGGTAAAGTTTTGGTAGTAAAATCAGTAATGCATCATGTCCCAAACCATCTGATATTGATAAACCGAGTTTCAACATCTTTGATCAATTAAAATGAATTACTTTCAGTTACTGCCGAAATGTTCTTCTACAAATCCTCTACAATGATGCCGAAGGCTTGAACTTGAAGATTGAGTCTTAATAATAATATCGAAACAATTAATAGATGTTGCTCCTATCAAAGAAATTAAGATGATATTTCCAGTTCATAATGATACACTGTGTACTCACTGCACTGGATTTAGAAGGATAACCATTATATATTATAATCCGTTGTTTCAATATTTTGTTTTCTTTGTTGATATCACTAACTGATCGATCATGATGTAATTAGGTTTGATTTCTAACATAAACTGTGATCTGAGAGAAGCCTAATATCAGTGTGTAATGTATTTGCAGTACTGCGCCGTGACGTAATAGGACAAAAAGTACCTGCCACCAATGGTCAACACCAAAAGAGCGGCGTACTGCGCGCGACCAACTATTTCGCCCGTACAATATATGGAACAGATATTTTACGAGTATCACCCGTTAAGTTCTAACCAGAGCCCTCTCGCTTGCGCGTCACGCAGTACGCGTATACAATATACACATGGCTATGTGAATAATATAACCGTATGCCAATTTCAAAGTTAGACTCGTCGACGGTTTAATGATCATTGAAACAAATATTTTACTGCCAGTTTTACCCGTTTAAAAACTACGCCACTTTTTATCTTTGCTGGCAAAATCGTATACGCATGGCTAAAAATTAAAAAGGTTGGCATCGTCCGCGTTTTAACGGGTGATACTCGTAAAATATCTGTTCCATATATTAAATTTACAGGACCGTCGACGAGTCCAACTCGGCGCGCGTCCTGGTAGGACGGTAGGTTGTAAACCTACAATCCGCGTTATTTGACGCAAATTTGTATCGCATTGAGTTTTTCATAAAAAAAACTTAATGGTACAATTTACAAATTTGGTACATTACACTGCATAGCAGTGTATGGTGTTTCAAATATTATATTAGTGATTAGACCGTCGACGAATCCAGAATCCGACTTGACGCGCGTTTTAGTTGTAGGTTTACAACCTACCAGGACGCGCGCCGAGTTGGTCCAATATATGGAACAGATATTTTACGAGTATCACCCGTTAAGCGTTTTAGTAAATTATGAACCTACAACTGTAAAGCGGTACACTAATTGCAGGCAGAGCGCCAAGCCGCACATCAAAAATCTTTCCCACTACCACTCTAGCTGAAATTGTGGTGATGCACCAAATTGTTACAGAGGCTCTTACGGGCATTGTCTGCTCGATACACTAGGGACCCCAGATACACCTTACCAGACGTATTTTTGACCGTAGAATCGATTAAAAGTGGTTGTAAGATGATTGGACTGATTTTTCTGGGTTAAAATTGCAAAAAACCGATTTTTGGGCCAAAAATAGGCTAAAAAACCATGTTTTTTGATATTTTGAGCAAGTTAATTTTGTTAGCATGTCGGCAAAACTTGCATGGAGATAGCTGAAAAACAGCCGCACAAGATGGTATAAAAATAAAACAAATCCCTCTATTTTTTCTGGGGTAAAAATCCAAAAAAGTGGTAAAAATTATGACTTTTTTGCTTGAAGTTTGAATAATTTTTTGCAGTTGTATTAAATCAACCCAAAAATAGTTTCATCGTGTTTGCCTAAATTTTTCCTTTCGGAGAAGTACCCACTTCATATACTTTATCGAAGTTTGAATATCGTCACTCCGCAAGCGTTTTTGCCAAATTTTCGACGCGCACTACGCTCAAAAGCATTTAGTTGTTATCAATTGGCACCCGCGCGTTCATCATAAATTTCAAACAGCTATAACTCAGCGAGATTATGTCCGTTCTAGCTCATATTTTCACACCAAATAGAAAATAATGTGATCTTATTGCTGACAAAATATGAATATAATTACTCTATTTGCCTTAGAGTAATAGACTGTCAAAGTTTAAAACGCGCATTGGAATAGCATGTGACTAATAAGGCCAAATTTATACTTCTTAACATATTATCGATCCTTAGACATCATACTATTGTGTCCAATTAGCGGTTTTGTCTCTAAACTCGTAGCAGAAAACACGTCTTTTTGCCCGTAAGAGCCTCTACTATTTTAAAAATAAACTTTCTTATGCATCATTTGCATTTTATCCGGCTGATAAATCAATGAATTGCATTGTCGGTTGATGTGTCAGTGCTCTCCCTACTCATATTGTTTAATTGTAACTTTTCTTTCATCCTCATCTACGAGACTTCATCCTGCTCACCAATCACTAATCACCAATCACCATCAATCATCATTATCCTTAGTTTTGTTGACAATTTTCACCATCAATTTTGAGACTGTTTTTAGTTATTGAATTAAATTGTGCTAATTCCGTCACTGCATTAAACTACATTTAGAAAATTAGAATATTTGTAAAGCGTGTGTTAAATACTAGGAGTAAACCTAACATGCTACCTTTGTAATGGGTAAAATATAGTTTTTCAGGAACTACAAGTAATTCATAGCTCATAATAATAATTTTTTTTTGCTTGAGCTGTAAAATCCTCTGGTGTTGAGACTACTCCATCAGATCCCAAATTTGGGTCCACTACTGTTAAGGAGACTCGTATCCAGTAGGGGCTGACAGCGGTAAGCTTCAGTGTCTGCTGGTAACCGACTCGGCAACAGTAGTGGTTCCCATTTTTGGGTTGGAATGCCTGACACAAGAAAAATGGACACTAGGTCCAAAGTAGGAAAGCAAACTGGAAAGAAAGCTGATATCTGTGGATTTTGTTCAAAGGAGGTAATATGTGATTGTATTCAATGTGAAGGCAAATGTGGACGATGGTTCCATGCGGCATGTAGTGGACTGTCGGAGTTGCAGTTTAAAGACCTAGCAGAAAATGAGGATTCTGAGTGGTCATGTCAAAGATGTGGCAAGGAGGAGAAGAGCAACGAAGACGAAGACGAAAACCCCATAACTGAAGCTATCCGAAAGTTGAGGAGACAGGTCGAAGAAAGTGTACAACCATCTACTCCAATATCAAAGGACCCTCATATTGTGGAAGAAGAGGGAAAGGAGTGCTGTTTCCCAGGTTATGAAAATGTAAGGGATCCATCTCAATTGAAATTAGGATCATGGAATAGTTGGGAAGTTCTAACACAATGTGAGGGAATATATGGTGTTGTAGTCAAATGGAGAAGAAACATATTTCTGCTTCCCTCAGGGGCTGCAGGAAAAGCATTCATCGAGGAAATGACTAAAGTGGCCAACAATTTTTCAGCAGGCAGTACTATGGAATCAGTGACCATGACCCTTTTGATGATAATGCCATCACTACTGTTGCAGAAACCCTCAAAGAGATCCAAAGCAAAGGAACACACTGAAGTGTTGAAGAGAAGGCTTGTTTTGTGGCAGGCAGGTAAGTTAGAAGAGTTGCTGCGAGAAGGACAGGAGATTCAGAGAAGAATGGGAAAGGGGAAACATGAACATGGCCATGTTGAGAGAGTCTTCACTCGACTTATGATGAAAGGTAAAGTCAGTGCAGCAATGAGGTGGATTGGCGAAAATGCCACCGGGATTCTTGAACCCACTCCAGATGTGATAAAAGTACTGAAAGAGAAGCATCCCAAGGCATCACCTGCATCAAAGGGAAGCTGTCTGAGTGGACCAGTGAGGAGAGTAGAGCCGGTTATCTTTGACAGTATTGACGGGGAATCGATAAGACAAGCAGCAAAGAGAGTACAGGGTGCTGCAGGGCCTTCAGGAATGGATGCGGATGCGTGGAAGAGACTACTGTGTTCTAAACAGTTTGGTAAGACGTGTGAGGATCTATGCAATGCTATAGCAGGGATAGCAAGGAAACTATGTGTCAGGAATCTGGATCCAACGATGTTGACCTCATTGACAGCATGTCGACTTGTTCCCCTGGATAAAAAGCCTGGCGTCAGGCCTGTTGGCATTGGTGAAGTCTTACGAAGGATAATAGGGAAGACAGTGATGACCCTCCTACAGAAGGATCTGGTTGGTGCCACTGCTCCTATTCAAGTGTGTGCTGGTCTTCAGGGAGGAGTGGAAGCAGCTGTTCATGCTGCGAGGGACTGCTTTGAAGATCCTGAAACTGAAGCCATCATCTTAGTGGATGCAGAGAATGCATTCAACTTGCTGAACCGAGAGGCAGCTCTTAACAACATGTATATTGTATGTCCAGAAGTTGCTACCTACATTATGAACACCTACAGAATGCCTGCTAGACTGTTTATTGCAGGAGAAGATGAACATCTTTTTAGTGAAGAAGGGACAACACAAGGTGATCCACCTGCTATGGGATTTTATGCATGTGGTACAATACCATTGATTGATGCAGGAAACATTGAGAGAAAAGTGACTCAGATCTGGTATGCTGATGACTCTGCTGCTGGGGGAAAACTGGAAGAAATGAGGAAATGGTGGGATAACCTCTGCATTAAAGGACCACTTTTTGGTTACAACCCTAAATCTTCCAAGACATGGGTGATAGTCAAGCCTGAGCACGAAGAGAAGGCAAGAAACTTGTTCCCAGATGTCAATGTGACAAGTATTGGTCGACGATATCTGGGCAGCTTTATCGGAACTGATGAAGGAAAAGGGGCTTTCATCGAGGAAAAAGTTCAAGAATGGTGTCGTGATCTTAAACAATTAAGTGATATAGCATCAAGAGAACCTCAAATAGCATACAGTGCATACATGTATGGGCTTAGTAAAAGATGGAACTATGTGTGCAGAACTACCCCAGGAGTTGCAGATAGGCTCACTCCTCTGGAACAAGTAACACGCGATGAGTTTATCCCAGCTATCATCAACAGGCTGTTTAGCTGC